TATATTATGTTAAAAATCTACCCAAAGTTTAGTATCATTAGAAAGGTAATAACGTAAGCTACTTTGTGAAATGGAAGAAATTCAATGAATTGTTATGAACATAGAAAAAATTTGCAATGAACGTCAGCGCGCGCTGTAATCATAATTTTGGCCCACCCTGTATACAGCGAGCTGCTCTGACCAGCTTAACAAGTCAATGTTTTTATTCTCTAAAAAATCTGTTGCAGATTAACCGACCCTCAGCTGGAGGGCATGATTAGCCTTGGCGGGGGGTGGGGGACCAATTTGAGATTCGATCCATCGACTTGCATATGTTAGTGCGCATCCTGGCATTACAGCATCTCCACAGAAACAACTGAACCGACAAATCGACAGACCGGCAATGATACCGATACCCACGTTATTGCTTTGTGTTATCACGCTATCATTACTTATGTAAATCTATACACTTCATTATTTGTCGAGCATGTGTGACGACTGCTACAGGGAGACAAGAACCGTTGTTCTTGCTGGGGCCGCTACCATCCTTGGAATAGTTCTTTATATGGCCTATGATAAAACCAAGGTGAGTTCAGAAACTTCAATGGAGGTGGGTTTGGGTTACACTATGCCACATTTCCTAGGTTTTTTTAAAGATGGTAGTAACCCTGCGGGAAGTGTTTTTTAATGCCTGAAAGTAATTCATCTTTTAGAGCCAAACCCAAGGCCCTTCTGATATCATTACTTGGAAGCGACTTGGCTAGCTCGTCATGCGGTTTCCTGTTTGAAAAATAGCTGCACTCGAAAGACCCTTACCTGGCGCGTTTGGAATCTATTCTTTCTTTACCCATCTCCATGTTGTCTGTAGAAACGCAAGCACTGCAGCACTACTGTTGCCACTTTTCTTGGAATGTTCTCACTCAGTGTATTGAAGTATCGCGATATAGACGATGTGCAATTGTCCAATTTCACCGTGTAACGTCTCCGTCTGACGTTGTTGAGAACGCTGTAGAACGGTTCAGTGGATCGTCCTCGCTTAAGAAACGAGTCCTTTTATTCATTTGTTTAGAGCCATCGTCGAAATGTCTAATCAGCGAGCTCGCGGGCTTCCTGGTGATCCTTTGACGTCCCGACCCGAGGAATCCAGCCAGAGCCGTGATGGTCCAACGGTGATCACTGTATCGCATAGCGTATCCGGTCCACCTGATCATGGAATTCTTTGCGTAAGAACCGACATCCCTGATCGTCAGGTGACCGGGCTGAGACTCCGGTTTCTCTTCTGCACTGCGTGTCTAGAGCAACATCCTTTCCATTGCGCAATGAATGATGCTGATTGCACGTTCATCCTGCTTTCGCTGATTCCAATTTCCTGAGGTGTACTCTAAAGCAGGAAAGTTAGCATTACAAAATGTGAAATGAATTAGAGAATTCCGTAAAATAATAATAACCTACATATTAGGGAAATCGTATTGAACTCTTGAAGGTAACCAACCATGCAGTGCTTTTCTCTTGGCGGAAAGGGATTTAGCTATGGAATCAGACCGCAAGCCAAAGTTTGGCTTTGACCTTACGCAATAGAACCACTCATCAACTTTCTGCGGCCGGTGCTGTACGCA